TTCTATTCTATTCTATTCTATTCTATTCTATTCTATTCTATTCTATTCTATTCTATTCTATTCTATTCCATTCTATTCCATTCCATCCCATCCCATCCCATCCCATTCCATTCCATTCCATTAATGTATTTACAGGAATGCAAATTTCTAGGACTTAAATGCTTCTCTGGAGGTCACTTTTTCAAAATATGTTTCAGCTATAGCACAGTTGAAACAGAGAGTACTTCTCTAAGTGAGGAATCTTAAGTAGATGACATTTGGTGCCCTTACACTACCCTGTATAGTTGTCAACCCTTTAAAAGACATTTTCCCCCTGGAAATGATGGCCTAAGTCCATAGGGAACACAATATTAATCCTATTTGATTCCTAAAACAAACCTGAGAAAATGTAGGGGATGAGTAAACCTCATCTAAGTTTGGAATGGAATTGACTACTAAGGGTCCATGCTTGAAGTCAGTGGCATGAGATTATTTTTTGGAGGTGATTTTAACCTTGATTGCATACCCAAGATAGATGTTAGGATAAAGGAGTTGGATAATAGTGGGAGTAGAAATAGTCCTGCCTTTGTAGCAATAGCTTTCCTTACATAATAATGAAGACAATTCTTATGTGTGATAGAATGTGTCCTTCTGTTTCCTTTCTCTTGCATCATAAACAAGATCTGAAATATCTTGAAAGATATTTCAAAAGAACCCGTTTTATAGCCCTCATAATCTCATAAGGATACAATGATACCGCGGTACACATCCTTAATTGGTTTTGAATGGTGTGATGAGTATCAAAAATGATAAGTACCTAACAATTTTTTCCCATAAGGAATAATGTAGTGAGTCATAAGGCAGGCAACACCAGCAAGTTCTAGTTTGTGGGTTGAGTACTGGGACAAAACAAAGTATGAATACTGGGACAAAATTTTCACGTCAAAATGCATTGAATACTGAATACAATGAGTTTCAAAGCAGTTGAGTACCAAGGTACTATTTTATGTTGTATTCCTCTCTATTTTCTAGCAACTTAAGAGTTATGATTGAGCCATGCAGTGTAGAAATCTATTAGCTCATAATCAAAATTACAGGTGTGCATTATGCTCTCTGTCCCGAGATTATATCAATTACCATATTGCAACAACTGGAGAGTTCTAGAGTTGGAAAGAGCCTCGTAGGGCATTGAAGTAGATTTCCTTACTGTTTGTTGCAAGAATAGCTATCTGGATTCTGTTTAAATCAGAGGTGGTATTCAGCAGATTCTGACCAGTTTGGAGAATCTGTAGTGGAAATTTTGAGTAGTTCGGAGAACCGGCAAATACCACCTCTGACTGGAGATTTTACAGTATCCTTCCCCTGCCATGCCCATCAAGCCACGCCCACGGAACTGGTAGTAAAAAAAATGGAATCCCACTAAAATACGTCCAGTGATATGGAGTTCACTTCCATCTAAGTAATTGCTTCTATTGTTATATCCAGTATTTTTTAAAAAATGAATTCCATTTCTTTTTAGTCCTTTATTTTAGAATCTATATATTGTTTTTGAAACTGGGCTTCCAGTTATGACAAAATATTTTAAAAATGACCAAAAAAACCTGTGCAGAAATATGAATCCACATTAAAAAAAAAAACCTGGGAAAAATAACTTTTAAAAAACACTCACATAAAAGCTTCAAAGCAGGATGCTCCTTAAAGTAAGTTACAGCAATTCTAAGCAGCGACAGCTTAGTGATAAAATGTTCTAACAAATCTTATATTCAAAAAATGAAAACCCAAAGGCTTTTAGAGAAAGAAAAGACCTTTGCCGAAGACCTAAAGGATCATAGGATAGGTGTGAAATATCTACTTTGGGGAGAAGAATTCCACAGTTGGGGGAGGTGGGTGGCCATCTACAAGGATGGCCTCAAGTGGCACATACCACATCTCTGTAGAGAGGGGTTTTGTTTTGAAGAAGGTTCTCTAAAGTCCAGATAGAAAGAGAGATTGCCTCAAGTACCATGGAAAGTATTTAAACATACTTTTTACTCTGTGCCATCCTCCTCATTCTTGTTTTTAAAAAGGCAATAGCAGGCTGGGAAAAAGATAAGGAATCACTTAATTCCCCCCCTCCTCAAAATTGGAAGACTTCCAACAGGATAAAAACAAGGGAACAGAGGAAGCCCTTCCATTCTCTATCAGGAAGACAAACAAAAAAAGAAGGACCTTTTTTTTAAAATCACTACCCTGGTGTTGATTTTCCTTTCTTTTCCTTTTCCTTTTTTTATTTTTCTTTTTAAAGAAAACCTTCAGCAATTAGCATCCAATCTTATCTGGCCTTGCAAATAACCCATTTCCAACTCTTTCTGTGTGGGAATCAGCCCCCGTCTCTCTACTCTGGTAAAAGCCCGTTGTGACCTGGGAATGATTGGCAGACCCCAAAAGGGTAATTCTGAGTGACACCTCCTAACCCGAATGCTTTTAAAGTGCCAAAATGGTTTGTCTACCAGTGGTGATAAAAGTGACGGGCTCTTTTGCTTTTGGAATCAGGACCAAACATGTCTCCTGTCTACAATTTTTTCCACGCTGACCTGTGGAGTCATGGAAAAAGATGTTCCGGTTTAGCCAAGCCTGATAGTTTGGTATGATGTGGCTCGTGGGAATTTCCAGAACACCGACACGGTAGAGAAGTTTCTCATCTGCTCTCAGTTAAAAAACATTTCTTAGATTATACTGGATCATGAAAGGCAAACCGTCTGGTCCGATTTCTGGGAAACACCAAGGATGAGACACTCAAGTTTCCTGGGAGAGCAGCATTCCTTTTTAATCAATAACAAAGCGCAGCACACTTCCTGATGACTATACATGGAATAAACTATCCTTCTACAACATCTTGCCCCCTAAGTCTTTGTAATTGCAGTTCCCATCACTCTCAGACAAGGGCGTCAGATTTTAAAGTAGAGTCACATACGTGGGAACCAGATCATTTCAACAGGAAATAGCAAAGATCGATTGGCACTTTTGACTACAGCTTCTCCTCAGTTGGGCAACTTGGTTTTTTTGCTTCACTTTCTTAACTTTTGTAAGTTCTTGGTACAAATCTTTACCCGAGCCCATGTGTACCAAATTATACTCTAAAATACAGTAGCTACATGAAGAATTCTGAGAGTTGAAGTCTACCCAACTTAGAGTTGCCAAGGTTGAGAAAGCAACCTTGAGAAAGCTTGCTTCAATGTAATTTGCTCTTTCCATTTCCAATGGAAATGTTATCATTTCTCCAATTGCATTTATTCCTCTATATCCTAAACTTGTGCCTTTCTTTCATTGGGGAAAAATCCAGTCCTCCACTCAACAGAATCAATAGAACCATCCAGGCTAGGGGCATCAGAACTTGTTTAAGTTTTGGAATGAAGTATTTTGGAGTAAACAAATAAGTTGCTAGTCCCTAAAAAAGGAGTTTGCCTTAAAGACAATGAACGGTTATTTGAAGGCATTATTGTTACATACACAGGTTTCAATGGAGGCCTTGGTGCTCTCTGAAGTTGGTGGCTTTTTTGCAGACGTTTCATTACCAAACTAGGTAACGTCATCAGTTAGTAACATCATCGTCAACAATCACTGTTAAAATTGTCTTGGGCTGTTTTGATGGACCAACTCAACACCTTCTCAAATATTCTGAAATG